ATCAAGGGTATAAGAATTTCCCTGAAGCTCAGCGTATCCTTGCAATCAGTCCACATTTTCAGGTCCTCCTTTGTTGTGAATGTGGTTCACAATTCATAACCTTTCCAAGAACCGTTTGCAAAATTAATGTGAAAAGTAAACGATTTCTTAAATATCATAAAAATATGTAAAGCATTCAATTTCATAACCCAGTCACTGAACAACATAACCCAGTCACTATACAACATAACCCAGTCACTGAACAACATAACCCAGTCACTATACAATATAACCCAGTCACTGAACAACATAACCCAGTCACTGAACAACATAATCCAGTCACTGTTTAACATAACCCAGTCACTGAACAACATACTTAGTAACCCAGTCACTGAGGAACATAACCCAGTCACTGTTTAACATAACCCAGTCACTGAACAACATAACCCAGTCACTGAACAACAAAACCCAGTCACTATTTAACATAACCCAGTCACTGAACAACATAACCATGTCACTGAGGAACATACCCAGTCACTGAGGAACATAACCCAGTCACTGAGGAACATAACCCAGTCACTGAACAACATAACCCAGCCACTGAGAAACATAACCCAAGCATTGAATATGAATTAATGTGCATAATTTGGTCTCCATATATAAGGCATATATACAAAAGTGGGAAGAAAAATAATTTATTTGACACAATCATTATTTGGAACATAAACTAATGTTAAGCCTTTTTCTAGAGCTCTTCTCCCAATTTTTATACAAATTGGGTTTAGTCACTGAGGAACTTAAAGATAAAAATAACATAGATCAATTAATCCTAGGGGAAAAAATAGCCAGACAATATTAAGACCATACACTTGTATTACATGGTACTATTTAAGAAATAATGCATGGCTACACAAGTGTTCCTTTTAAATTACACCCAAATCCAATGGTATGAATTCTGCATGTGAAATTCATTTCACTTGTCAGAAAAACAAAACTTTAATAGATATTTTCAAAGTCAAATTACATCAAATTCTAGTAGGAATTAATGATAAAACAGTCTGGATCTGGTGTGGATTTGATTTGAATGAAATCACAATTATTAGAGTTTATGAGTTCATCTAGAGTAACCAAGTACAATTGATCAGCGTGGTTTAAACCACGTTTTAATCAATTAATAAAAAAAAAAATTAATCATTGTAAAAAACTTTTTTTTTCAATTTATCCGATAAATACAATGTGTTTAAAATGTTGAAAATGTAATTTAAAGCATTTTATTAGACGACTTTCACATTTACAAAAGCAAAAGTTATTTCCTTTTGCGGGGTCGATCTGGGGCCAACCGGCGTAAGATCTATACCATTACCAACTTCATGAATGTCTTACCAATGAAATCTGAATGAATATGTTTGTTATGTTTTTATGCTGTCCCATACTATATATGGCAATACAGGAACGGATAAAAAATTGTCCGATAGCATTTACATTTGCTGTGTTTTCTACTAAGCCAACTGTTAACTAAGCATTGAATTCTTATTTTTGGATGTCGTCGGTCCTATAACACACCTGGCCGCTAACGCGCGGTATGGTAATTTGTCGGCACGGCCAGGTGTGTTATAGGACCGACGACATCCAAAAATAAGAATTCAATGCTTATATTTATATTCTCTAATTTTCTATCTTCATAATTGTATATTTCGTTAATCCTTATTATGAATTTAACGTCTTTCAGAACTGGTGTGCTTAATAGACGTAAGAGCCGTTTAATTGTGACGTTGGAAAGTAAGATAAGTTAACGCAAATGAACATTGCGAGAAAAAATGACAAATTAATTTTAAACGCACAGTTGTATTTTACGTTAATTTAACAGGGTAGTTTTTTTTTATTAAATTGAGTCAAAACAATATACATTTTGTTGTTCCTAGATATTGAAAATGCATATAGTTCCTACTGTGTATTCTACCACGCGGTGACAAGATTTCGCGTGTGTTATAGAGATTTGAACGTCGTAGATTTCTAATGGATTTCATAAACAAAATTACACTGAATGTAAATACATTGATTTGAATGCCATTTTCGTGTATACTCACGCGTAGAAATATGCACGGAGAAACTTGCGCTAAAGTGACGTCATAATGAGCTACAGAGACGTTGATAAAAATGTAACGATATAGGGCAGCGAATAATTCAAACATTGAGTATATTTTTGGTGCATTTGCGAAAGTGAAAATTCGTCTATTACATGAAGTTTGACGCTGGGCCCAACTAGGCTTAAATCCTGAACACAGCAAGGGTATAAGAATTTCCCTGAAGCTCAGCGTATCCCTGCAATCAGTCCACATTTTCAGGTCCTCCTTTGTTGTGAATGTGGTTCACAATTCATAACCTTTCCAAGAACCGTTTGCAAAATTAATGTGAGAAGTAAACGATTTCTTAAATATCATAAAAATATGTAAAGCATTCAATTTCAATTCAAACAACTGGAAAGCTAGGGAAAACAATGCAATAATGCGTAACCTACAGTATCAGGTAGCGAGAGTAACACTTAGGGAAGTTTAAATTCTTACTTCAATTTTCCGTAACCTTTTAGGTAAATTAACAACACTGACATTTTTACCATACAACTTCATACAATATATTGAACGGGATATGTCAAATATTGTCCTGTAAGGATGACCACAACACTGCAATCCACACTGTAAAAACTTAAGACTTGCAACCATGATCTAGATAGACATTTAACAGACATTATGTGCTACTATATGTTTCAGTTTTTCAGAAACGAAAATGGCATGTTTTATGTCTTGTTTATAATCTGTATTAACTCGATGAAACTTTTTTTTTGGCCCTAATGCACATCTTATATGCAGTTTGATTATAATATAATGTTTAAGCAGCTTATACTAAGCGTAAATTCTGAATATAATCTTTCTTAACATTAAGGTAAAATATCCCTCTGCTTAAAATTTCACCATTTCTTTTTTTAATTTCCAACATTCCAAAAATATTGGCAATAGAAAATAGAAATCAATATTTGTAACATAGTCCGGATTTGAATGAGTTGACTATATAAAGGTCCTCATTCTTAAACTCAGGTGAGATAATTCATTGGATTTCTTTGAATAATTTCTTTGGAAAGTTATTTCTCTTATCAGAGGGATATTACACCTTAAAGTCCATTATACTTTTTGAAATCACCGACTTTTGTTTTGTTTTGTTTTTGTTTTTTTTTTCAATAAAAATGAAACTCGTAAATTTGCATACCTTGTCATTGGTCCTCTGCAGAATTATTTTGTTAAAAGAACATTCTGACTGTACACACAAGTATTCTGAAGTTGATGTTACAAAGACGTATAAGTTTCTGATCGAAAATATCTGTTTAATTTTCCAATATTCTGTTGGAGTTTCCATGGGTCTTTATTTCCGTTGTTAGCAGACTTATTTTTGCATTCATATGAAGCAGAATGTATTGAAAAACTTCTTCATGAAAAGAAGAATCTTGCTGTGGCTTTCAACTTGACATTTAGATATACACTGTATCGACGTTTTATTAATTAACAATATTCATTTTCTACAGTCCTACGTTAATTCGATATATATCAATTTGAAATCGAAATAGAAGACACCGTAGCATCTGATATATCTTTCATATTTGGATATTTTACCAGAAAAGGACATTAATGGCGGACTAATTTCAACAAAACTTTATGATAAACGTGATGATTCCACCTTTTCTATGGTCAAATTTATGACCAATGAGATGATTCCAACTCTTCTATCGTCGACTATGACCAACGTGATGATTCAAACTTTTCTATCGTCAACTTCATGACCAACGTGATGATTCAAACTTTTCTATCGCCAACTTTCTAACAGTCACGGTAGTTCAGTCGGTAGAGCGCTCGCTCCGTGATCGGAAGGTCGTGGGTTCGAGCCCCGATCGACCTATGTCGATTGAAAATTAAAATAGATAGCAACTGTTCCTTGGCCAAGCGCTCGACACGTTGAAGTGAAAGTTTTGGGTGACTTTCGGATAAGACCTGAAAAACCCAGGCCCTGTGTCAAGGCAGGTTTTAGCACGATAAAGATCCCTCACTTCTCATTGGTCCTGAGGTCTAATTTTGAAGCTCTTCATCAGTATATGGTCTCTATTTGAGTGGAAAAATCGAAAACGGGACGTATATAATCAATCAATCTGTCGTCAATTTCCCTTATTTAAGTAGCAATTTACCATTATCACCTGTATATGGAGTTTATATCGCCCAGTGATTCAAAATGCAATACCATGTTCTACGTATGAACAATTTCCAATACGAATCAAGCTATTGACAAATAAGTTGATGATACAAGGACATCAACAATCTTGTTTAACATCAACATTTCGCAAATTCTATGGTCGATACAACGACCTTGTTAGCAAATACAATAAATTGTCAAGTAGAATGTTGACTGACAATTTTCATACAATTTGCTAGGCCCTTTTTTCAAACTGAATTGTCTAGACGGATTTTTCCGCTTGCCCGATTATGACAAAGAGCACGCGGTGGATGTTTATATCCGCCAAACTGGTAAAAAAAAAATCTGCTCAACCTCAGAATGAAACACAAAGACTTGTTTGAAATTTTAGAACAATAGCATATAAATTACAAATTAATCCTCTTTTATGGTGAAATATGAAGCAAGATAATCCTTCATCAAAGTGTCAGAACATTTCCGTGTGCTGGATATAATTCATAATCTAATCGACTTTTCCTCGGCAAGAGCAAAGGTTTTCATCGATTGAAAACTGTTCACAACTTGTTTGAAATGTCTACGGGTCAGGTAGACAGATTAATGGACAGACAGGGAGACAGTAGACAGATTAATGGACAGACAGAGAGACAGTAGACAGATTAATGGACAGACAGGGGGATTCGTAGGAGGAAAGGAAGACAAATAAGGATGTAAACAATTTCCATTTTTTCCCTGAGGCAAGAAAGTGAATATCAATCAAAATATGCATGGATAGTCAATATAAAACAATAACAATTTCTTGAATTTTATAAGAGATGTCTACACAGGGGGTTTAATCACATCTAGTAATGAATCCATGGAGAAAGATCTAGCTGAGGAATGGAACTACAGTCCACGATTGGGTTCCTGAAACAAACATTAGATACATCTACTTGAATATGATTTTCATGTTCGTAATCTATGATATCTTTCTTTTCAATTATCCTATGACTAAATTGATGCCTCTATCCGGGATGACTCTCTCTCTCTCTCTCTCTCTCTCTCTCTCTCTCTCTCGTCTAGTAAGTTGCAACTATTTTTTCGGAAAGGTACATGTATGTCAATTTAAGCTTTTTCGATGATATAAATTAATAAAATCAATAGATTCAAACATCCTGTTAAATAAGCATTTTTAAAGAAAATCGATATCATTTTTTTAACATTTATCAACCATATTTTTAACTTTACAAAAATCGAAAATCGTATGTAAGTGAAAAATAAATGTATATGATGTATATTCACATTTTGTGAACAAATACACGTATGAGATACTATTTTTAAATTTTAGATCAACTTTAATTTATCTGATAGCTGTGGTAGTATGTATGCGCTACTTACTGTGGTGATGGCAATATAAAAACATGTTTTTGAATCTGATCCAACTTCATCAATTTGCATATTAACCAGGACATCTTGACTTTTCTTATGGCGTCCAACTGGTCTGTAATTTTTTTTAATTGTAGAAATACAGAAAGATATAGTGATTTACATGTCGTAATTATGACTATATAGTACGCTCTACTTCGAATTATAATAGATCAGGCATTGGCATACACATATTTCAATATATAAAGTCTTATGAAATTGCTATATGCACTGGATGATAGGAAGTTTTGTATTAAATCATAATGCACGGTTAATATGGTGCATTAGCTCTATATTTTGTGGTTGATGATTTGCTTTTAACCTTAGATATACATGTAACATGTGCATATTTGAAATATACATGAAAAAAAATGTTCCATTAGTGCTGATAGAATGTTTGACAGGAATCTTGTAAAATCTGAGATGCCGACAGGGGTGTATGCGAGTGGAAGTAATTTGGTCACCTCTGAGTACAGATTGTCTGTTGAGCTGACCATAAAAATTAAAGTATGCTTACGAGCCGAGAATCCCTCTGGTTCACGTCTCTCATACCAGTATCTATCTCCATACTTCAAATCTCTGAACTGCTGCCCTAGAAGACACGTAAAGAGGGGACCAAGCATGGAGCCATGTCTTGGCCTTTCTGTTATGCCGCCGACAAATACTTCTAGGTCGTGGACAGAGCTAAAAAGTAATAAATATAAGAATGTTTAGATTATTCTTTTTTAAGGTCAGACGACACGTTCATCAAAAATACATAATTTCCCCCAAAAATTTGATATTGAATTTCTCCTTCTTTAAGAAACTTTCTCACAAAAAATAGGGTACTTTACTAGGCATTTGTGCAAGATACAGAAGGATTGTATTTCCTACATAATCTTACAGGAAATTACTTATATTGCTCAAATCACAATTTTTGGATCAAATATTTTTTCCAGACATTTTAAAAACTGTTTAGATATCAGAGGATATTGATAATTATGAACGATTTTGGTATATTTACGAACAGATGCAAAATCAGACATTTGAGAAAGATGTCGTCAGACCTTCAATTGGTTTTGTGATTGTTTTTTAAAAATATTTTTGGATGCATTATTTGGCAATACATTATAAACAGAAATTAAATTGTACTGTTTATGCATAAGTGTGAAAGAAAAACTTTTTATATATAACATAGGAGTGTATCTATTTCACAGACCTGAAAGTGATAGATTGTTCATCTTACTACCATACTCTTTTAGAATGAGATTACAGGATGAAACCATTCAGCCAACTTAATATTCACTGAAAGGTCTGGAAAAGTGGCGAAATGGCAGAGATCTGCCATTCAGTCACCTTTCAGTAAACTTTCAGTCAACTGAATGGCAACTTTCAATTTGTAAAATGCACAGTTAAAAATTATAATACAAAATTACAAACTTGTATACGGATCGAAATTTTGCTATCATCTCAGGAGAATGGTCTTTTAAATCTGAAAACGAACGAGCAGGCTGCAAACCACAGAATCGACGCCATTCATTATATGACCGTAGGCCATGGTCTCGACTTCGTTGAATGTTTAGAGACATCAAATCGAATGATAGTCCTGCGTCATCTATGAAAAGCTTGTTCCTGACGGAATCTTCAACCTCTCTGCAATTATTACTTAAATGTTAATTAACTTACAATAAATCCATATGTAGATAGAGCAATTTGATACATCTCACTCAAATGATATTTTTTATCCATATTTTCCGTTTTTTCTTCAACGATAATATATTTTCATATAAAATCTCAATATCATTTCTCCATAAGGTAAATCAACAATTTAAAATTTTGATATATATGTATGTTTATACATAATTATAATGTTTCTACCATTTATACATGTATGCACGCTAGCAGTGTGAAGGCAGGTTATTTATGTCAACATGCAATATATATATGGTGACATGCTAAATCATATTGATTATGAATAAATATCAACAACTTTCCATTGAAAACTATTGCACATTGTTTGCAAAATGCAACTTATGTCATTATGCAAGACAATTAGGATAATATGTAGTAAAATTATGATATTATATGCCGCTTATTTATGCTGACATTATTTACCGCAGAAATATTTCAACAAAAACGTGCAAGAAAATTATGCCAACTTTCCACTTACATATATTTATGACAACACACACAAAAGATGAAAATCCGTTTTCATTTTTGTAGAATTATCAAGCCAACATGACAAAAATTCATGACTGGCTCAGACTGCCTCATTTCGTTCTCAGCTTAGGTATATGATAATTTTCTTTATCGTTCTTTCCTATATTTTAATATTAGAGTGTTCGTTCAAATTTCACAAAAAGTTAAAAATAATTTATGTTCAAAACATTTCATATCTAGGGTATCTGAAATTTTCACAAAAATATCTTGCATATAAACAAAAGGTACATCGAGTTACATGTACAAGGGAATATACAATGTATTTAAGTTCTATTTAGAGACATTTGTTGCATGTTAACATAAATAAGTTTCCCCTTGTTGCATATTTACAAAATATAGTTGCCTTTTGCAAAAAAGACATCGCCTTTAGGTCCAATTTGCCCTTTTTACTTTTAGGGAAAAATATAATTATATTAAATTTTTTTTATCATGTGTTGCATATAAACTACAAGTTACTATCTTGAATGTTGACATACATGTATCTTTCATGCTAACAAGATTAGTAAAATAGGATAACTCGCAAATAGTGGTTGAAATATGATGCCATCACACATAACTAAGTAATATCATTACAAGTCTTACGTATCAATTTGACTTGCAGGGGACATGACCAAATATCTGATAAGGTCCGGTATATTTTTTCCAAGGTTTGACACAAGCATATTTGGATCCAGAAGTGTATCTTCCAATGCGATTTCTCGACCAGTTACAAAGTTGTGTAGCATAAGCCCCAATTTGCCTGGAATCTGTGTAGGAAATTAAAAAAAAACTAGTAATCTTTATAAAATTGTTTAATAAAACAAAAATATCTTGCAAGCATGAGGGAGAGAAAAAAGACAAGGGGGTAATTTTCAATTGACCTTGATTACAAAGAAAGAGGGCAATGGAGGTGAAATTTTTATAAGTTATTTATAAGAATTAATATGATAAAAACTTAAAAAGCATCATATTTAGACAATCTCTCTCTCTCTCTCTCTCTCTCTCTCTCTCTCTCTCTCTCTCTCATATCATATCATCGTCGTCGTCGTCGTTGTCGGGATCATCATACCATGGAATGTCCAAACCGAAGAGCAGCAGTAACCACTACGTTTCTCATCTGAGGATTCACCCTTGCATTATATCCTCTAAAGAATCTCTTCCTCTTGGACTTTAGACCATACTTCTTCAAAGCTCTCCCTCCCAAAAGTTTTGGCAAGAACTCGTTGTATGTGATATGTTGCATTATGGCTCCGATTATCTTCCGAGTTTCTTGGAAAATTTTTTCACTTGACCATCTTGTCTTTAATCTGAGTATCTTGGCAATATGATTGTGTACACGCACAAACAAGATATGTAATCCACCAAGAGAAGGTACCTCATTGACACGTTCGTCACCTTAGAAAATATGTAATATAAATATGTAATAAAAATATGTTATATAAATATGTTATAAAAATATGCAATATAAATATGTAATATATCTTTTTTTCGATGAATTTCTGGGCAGTTTGAAAAAAAATCTATCATGATTAATGATGTTACAAGAACTATTAATTTACATCTTGATTCAGTATGATAAGCAAATGCTTGTTACTGATATGTGTATCTTTCTCTGTATCTATCTCCGCTTAAAATAAAATTTCTTACCACCGAGTTGGCAAAAATCGCGAGAGGATTTTAACACGCAATCACCACCAGCAGGAAGAAGATCTTTACTGAATGTTCTTAATTTGCTTTTATCTACATATCAAAACATATAAGGGGAAAAAATCATTTTTATATTAACAATTAATTATAAGTTGATCATGTTCAGAAAGTATTTAAATAAAGAAAACATTTTGAAGTCCATTTCGTAGGATAGAATTTTCCTATTTGCTTGTAAATTACAAAAGAATATTACATTTATATATGTATCTTTTCCAATATTATCATTGATAAAATAATATAATATTCTAAAAATTACCCTTTTTGCTGACTAGTTTTTTGTGTATTTTTGCTGAATTTCCGTAAACCTGACCCGCATCGATGAAGGATGACAATAGATTTAACTGCTCTCGAGTCTCTTATAAAAATATAGGGAGAGAATTTAGTCACTTGAAATTCTGTTGAAGTGCTCTGACTGCAAGCATATAGTTAACACGTTTATAATGATTAAATACTTGCATCATCAAAGTTAATGTTATAATTTTTTTTAATAGCAATTTTGAGGAAGCTATCCATAGTAAACAAAGTATTACGGGTACCATCTCGCAAATGCTTCGGGTGAGACAAACTGTGATTAACAAAAGCCGATCACAATAATTGCAATGATGCATACGTTTTATCTACATAAATCAAACATTAAAACGTGTGGTGCCCCAAAGTTTTTTTTTTTAATTTCATATATATATATATATATATATATATATATATATATATATATATATATATATATATATATATATATATATATTATACTGATTTAGAATTACTTAATAGGGAATAGGTTTATTTTTACCCATATGACAACCATCATCGGGTGGTGCAGGAGCGGATCTAGCAAAGTCCATGCATCGCTGGTTGCTGAAATAAGAATCCCGGATCGGGATTTTTATAGGAAAACATTCTTCACTACAATAAATTAAAAAAAAAACAAGCCCCTTAGTAGATTCAGTTTAAAGGTAAATGGATTTACAAATAAGTAGAAAGACAAAGACTGTATTACATAATTATTGCCTCAAAAATGATGTAAAGTCCGGGTAATTAGACTTGTTACTCAATTGTGTAACAGAATATGTCTCTCGTTAGGTTTGGCTGACTGTTGCTCATTGAAATACCCATAAGAGAAAGAGAGGGAAGGAGAGAGAGAGAGAGATGTTTTCAAATTTAAATAGCTATTAAAATAGAGGTTTTTATCGCCCGCGGGGCGTAGTGGCTTATAGCGTCTGCTTTAAAGTCGCGGAGTAAGGAGCTGATTCTTACGTTGCGGGTTCGAACCCACTGCGGGACGTGGAGACCGGTCCTTCGGATGAGACCGTATAAACCGAGGTCCCGTGTCGCAGTAGGTGTTGGCACAAAATAGATCCCTCACTGCTCAATGGCCCTAAGTGTCGAGTATAGGACTGGTATAAATTTGCAACCCTCCATCGGCAACTGGTGGCGTCTCCATATGAATGAAAAATTTTCGAGAGGTACGTTAAACAACAAACAAACAAACAAATAGAAGTTTTATTTAGGTTTTCATTGGATCTTAATGCACAAAAATTAAAGAAAAAAGAGTCATAAAGATTGTTTGTTGATTAACGTTGCGAGAATGTGCACTCATATACCATTTACATGTGAAAGGCTTTATATTTAGACCCTTACTCGGCACCTTGAGCCATTGAGCAGTGAGGGATCTTTATCGTGTCAACACCTACCGTGACATGGGACCTTGGTGTTTAAGGTTTCATCCGAAAGACCAGTGGTTTTCACTTCTTATGCCAGGCGATATGAACAGTCACTACCTATGTTAACGTGTTTGGTGCGGCGACGTCCAATCGAAGGTCCTACCACTACGCTACCGCGAAAAATTATGCAAAATTAAAAGCATATATCGTCCTCACCTTTCCCTTATGAATGCATCAGTGAGTTCTAAGATAAAGTAAGTTTTGTGACTTAATTCTATAGTCTATCAAAATATATTGACACCTTGCACGGCGTACTACACTATATCGATTAACATAATCTTTTTAAAACATTCCGATCAGTGCAAAATTGTCGATTTGATTACTTGCGGTACAACACGTATATAATATGAACCTTCAATACTTATTTTTATATTTTATCGTTATATATATTAAGTTTAATTTTTTTTAATTTAATAAATATATAAACATAATCAAATGCCGTCTTATTATTCATTCAGTAAAAACCTTATTCGTCACATTTTCTTTTTTAAAATTATATAACATATATAAAGAGAAACATATTTAAGGATGACGTTTACTCCACTGATAAATATGAAAAAAAAAACACCTATTGTGCATTGTGCCCCGGTGATTGTAATGATATTATTCACTTTTAAATAATTAGGTAAATGACCTACTTTTTTTCCCAGTGGCCCCTGAGTATTTATCAGGAAATACCTCAAATTTTACATTATGATCAATATTTTCTTTATCAATAAAATTTAAAAAGCAAGAAAACTCTTCAGATAATAAAATGAGCTGGAAAAGTGTTAATGAATATACATAAACAACTAGAGTTTGAGCAATAAACTTCTTAAATATTCCAGTCCATATTTCCTCTGTCAATTTTCTATTTTTTACCCATTTTTAATCTATTATCACAAAAATATGAATGATAGGAACTCTAAACTATTACATGTATAACCCCAGTTTATTTATATTGCCCTTATTCTCCTAGTAATTAAAATTATATGTCAATGATCAAAATCTTGAGATATGTTATCTGGAATGGATTTTGTTTGTATTTTTGATACACTTTACTGCATGCCATTTGATTATTTGAAACAATTCATGAGGTATATTACACCTAATTTTTGCAAAATGATGTGAAAAAAACACATAGAATCTTAACTTTCATAATGATATTGTAAGAAGAAAAAAATGTGGAAAAACTTAGATATTAAAATTTAGTCCGAATTTCCTCTGCAGCACTATAAATAAACCTCTGATGTTGCAGATTTTCTCCAAATAGTAAGAAATTAAATTTTAACATTGATATTTACTTATAACATTGTTTTTTGTCAATTTAGAGCAATTTTTGTTTTAAGATAGTATATTTTAGAGCAATACGTTTCTGTCAACTAAAACCCTTTGTAAATGTTATCCTTAAAGTGTAAAAGAACACAAATTTGTTTCAATAATATTTTTTCTTATAATTATTTTTTTTAAAAATCAACAGAATGTGATGAATAATTACATTGAGCAACAAAGACAAAATTACCACATCTCTCAGAACAAAAATTTTACGAAGTCCTTTTTAAAATGTCTTTTTAAATTATAACTATATATAAAATACAAGGCTATTGTCTTGAAATATAAGCGATATTTGGGCGAGGGTAAGAAAACGTGATAGAGGGCGAGGCTTGCCGAGCCCTTTATCACGTTTTCGACCCGAGCCCAAATATTGCTATTATTTCAAGACAGCATCCATGTATTTTGTTTATCCTGCAATATATTTTTACATCACACCTCCAAAACGAGCTATTTTCAACCGATTTAGGTACCTCTCATTTGCAGTTGAAACTAAGAAGCCACGGCGTAAACATTGCAATGTGTATGGCGTCAAAATGCTTTTAGAACCTCGGAATACATGCACAAGGCTTTATTAGGGCATTGACCGAATAAAGCTTTGGTCTGTTAGGTTATCTTCATTAGGTCAATGCAAGGTGTAAGTGCAGGATAAATAACATTTATATGCTTATCCTATTACAATATTCTTACTTAAATTTGTCCACTCCACAACAATCCAACGGCTTGTTATTTTTACCTGAAGAAAAGAATTACTAGTTTAAGGTGTTAAAATCAAATTAATATTTTTCAATACTCAAAAGAAAATTATATCAATAAAAAATTGGCTAACAATTAAATGATCATCATGGACACTTCGCACTATTTAGTGATAGTTTCATCACTGTCACTTTAAATGAAAACCGTCTAAAACAGAGTTGAGTTCCAGTCTTGGACCGTATAAACCGAGGTCCCGTGTCGCAGTAGGTTGGAGATTTGGAAATTGGAGAGAACAAATTATTTAAAATAACCAATCTTTATATCTGATATTTTTCCTATGGATATTTCAATTATTAATGCCAGTGAAAGAATATTACCCAGAGAACCTTGAGTGAAGGTTAAATCATGGTCCAAAAATTGCCCAAAAGCAAAAAACATTAAAGACGCAAATCTGTCTGAAGGAGTCTCGTCGTTCCGGGCAACGAAAATCTTATTGCTTATTTTTCGTGGACTTGGAAGTCTTTTTCCATCAAGAGATCTTTTCACAGGTTCTCCAACATCTTTTTAAAGATAAAACTTGATTATTGGTTATATAATATAAATTGATCGTGTCATATTGAATTAAGGAAACTTTTCTATAACTCTCCATTATAAATGGTAATACATATTAATTATGAAAGAAATATAAATAATTATAATAAGAAAACTAAGTTCATGCATTCTATAAGGAAAAAAAGAAACAATAAAACCACCGATATTTGATGTATTCGATTTTGTTGGCAACAGAATGTCTATATTATTTATGTTTATTACAGTTTACAGAAAACAAATTAAAGTTCATCCTATATTTATATCCGTAAGATAGTTAAAAGAAAAGAAAGAAATATTAGTCAAATCTATAATTATATTGTTTACATGTAAAATACTGTACCAACCATCTTCGTATCGAGGTGGAAGGTATCGGGCATGCGCAGTGAGTGCCATTCCCCAAGATGGATTCCTCAGGCTATTACACTCTCCTGTTAAAGTTCTGTATTTGGAATTCTTTTCTCTTTTGCAAGATTTTTTTAGCTTGCAAAACTCTCTTTCCAATTTTCTTCTCAGATTCCTGTCTTTATAAAAACTTTTGAAGGGTTTCTTCACACTGAATTATACAAGAAAAAAAAAATTAACAGTTATTTTTGAAATAGAAATAGCATTCTGAAAAGATTTTTTTACTTTAAAAGTCTGTAAGGCATAATTTTTTTTAAATGTTATTGTCTGGTTTATAATTTACTATGTTACCACTCCTTCCTTTTCGAAAAACTTTGCCAGACAACACATCTCTAAGCGTAAATAACTTCTAGATTTTAAATTAAATTTTTCTATTTGAAGCATTTGTAACTTTTTCAGGATTTATACATGTGTAGGTAGAGAACATATTGTAGTTATACTTTTTTCATATAAATACCACCATAAGATTTTTTTGAACATCTATATGCAATATAAATTCTTTCAGTGGTTCAAGAAAAGTAATATACTTACAAGAAAACCAAGTATTTGACAACCTTAAGAAACTTCTTTCCAGATTTTACTATCTTATTTCTCTCTTCATCCTGTTGCTGCAGAAAAGCAAATCTATTTCCGATTTTTGGTATTTTGTCTGTTGAATAATTATCAACATCAGAGTTTTTTTTTCAACAAATTAAAAAATTATATACATGGTTTTAAAAAAGGAAAAAGTTTAAATTGAATTTACAATGAATGTTGTTTTCTTTACATAGAAACAAGCAAAAAGTCTTACTATGTCTCAGACACGTTTGTGTTGTTTTTTCTATGAAACGCTCAGCATTTTGTACAGCATTTCTGAAAATCTTTTGTACATCAAACTTAAGGCCAAGTGAAGGCACTATTAAACAGCAACACACTATGATAAGAATACCTCGTAGCTGCATGGTCGTAGCTGGTTTTTGTGCAAAAAAAAATTACGAAATTTTTATTTAAAGCATAGTTTAACACTTTCTAAAGACATATTGAAGCAGTGAAAAACATATTTTCATTTATTTCATCAGATCCTGACTCTTGATAAAAATGTCACTCGTAGGACCATATTTCTGCATAAAACTTTTTTATTTTCCTCGAAAACAATCAAATGTAAATTTTTATTTAATTATTTTGCTGTGAATGTTATTATGAATAAAAATGACTTAGTCTTAGAGCCCTTATGAAAAAACCTAAATAATCTGACTAAAGAAAATGTGTAGCATAATGCGAATAATTATATAAACGTAATTATAACAGGAAATCAAAAACGATTTTATATTTCATACATTATTAGTAGAAAAGTAGTTTATAACTGTTCACAAATGCATGAACTAAAAGAAGCAGTGGGTGATAGATAAATGAATTTCAATTATAACAACTCTTATAATAGAAAACAGACAACGGACAAAAACAAATACTATGAGGTGAATTAAAAAATGACCGGACATATGGTTAAAATACAGGCTGTGTTAATAAAGTGTATGGCTCATTGTCTAAATTTTGATATTGGCTAATGGTTCCATTGCATATACATTTCCGCCAAATATCTCACTGATGTCTTGATTTGCAAAAGATTATGCACAAAAATGATGATAAAATGTCAGAAGTTTTTTTTTTTTTTGGTGACAATTTAAAATTTTCCTAATTCTTTAAAACATCTGTTATTTAAATAATAACGATTTATATTACGAATATATATTAAATATTGAACTTTAAACTTAGACTGTAGCAACTTAATTTGTTTTACATGTCACTAAGTAAAGGTTACAACAGATGCTGAACAAATACTATGCCATGTCAGGAGTGTAACAGAAAAAAGTGGTGTTGCCAAAAACATTAATTTTATACAATCGAATTGTCAGGAGTGCAACAATTGATGGCTTGCTCCCCAGCTTGTAAACACTTTATCAGTATGCTTTTTGCTTTCTTTCTGGAAACAAACATTTTTACTCTATAAATCTATCAATAAAAGCATCTGTCTGTGTTTCAGTTCCATATTTCAACTGAAGGGAGAGCAACACATTATTCTAAAGATGTAAGTTTGAAATAACAAAATCAATATCTTTTTAAAATTTTGAATATTACACAGAAATTTAAGAAAATATCTCTCTAACTAACAATTTTCTCAGTTAAACCGATCATACATAATTACAGCTGTCGACAAACCACTGACAACGTCAAAATGTTGTTTGTGTTTATGGCCTTTGCAAAATTTTCAAATGATGTGCACCTTTTCTTTAGAATTTTAAAAATTCATTTGAAGCATGAAATTCATCATTACATTATTTAAATTTTCAGCTAGTAACTATCTCGAAACATACTAAAATCATAGAAAATCGTGGTAATAATTCATTTAAACTAAAATTCCCCAACCCTAATCATGAATCCCAATTTCTGGAGCAGTCAAATGTTATCCAAGAGGACATTTAGCTTCAGGCTTTTCAGTTTGCCGACATTGCTCTTGATCTTCCAAATAGCTCTTGCCTCGGATAACAAGTCCATCAATCCTTGAATATCTTTTGCTTTGTTATAAACTAATGTCTAAGAAGCGTTTCTTTTGTTCGATCGTTTCTATCTCTTTTTCCTTATGGGGAGGAGTCATACCCCGCTTAACGCAGTGCTAAATGACGGTTAGGTGGACCAACATCGCCTATTTTGACAATATTCAGTGGAAAGATTTGTACAGATAACGTAATATAAATGCCATTTATGATGTCAAATGTTCGCATACATAATTAATAAGATCACAAAGATTTGAACAAAGCAAATTTTGTCACAATATATTTCCGTATAATCTGGAAATAAACAAAACATCGCTAACAATGCTATTCTTAAAGAGTGGAAAAATTTCTGTGTGTCGACTGTCGATATTTCACGCTTTAAATGCTTTTTCAATGCGTTTAATATCATAAAGCAAGCTCTTAATGTTATGTCAATATAAGGAAAACATCATTATTCAAAAAAATATAAAAATAAATAATTTTGTTGAGTTGGTTTATGAACTTTTAAAATTTTATGTTCTTCTGAGCAATTAGTATCTATTTGATTAATTTAGAACTAAATTAATGCCAGTGTGATCATTGGAAAATGTCTCCTTGATATTATCAAAATAGAGATGTTTGTATCTTTTTTATTATTTTTTCCATTAAGAAACCCAAACATGAAACATTGTTATATATTTAAAATTATTCCATAACAACTTCACTGTAAGAAACAAAATATATTATGATGTAATTTTAAACGGCAAAATGCTTCTTTGAAGTATTATATGTACATGGTCATGCAGGAGTGTAACAAAAATATTAAATTTATCAGTGACCAAATATGTGTTAAAACAATCAAAATTTGATTAGTAGAATGGAGTGTAACAAAAATATTAAATTTATCAGTGACCAAATATGTGTTAAAACAATCAAAATTTGATTAGTAGAATGTTTATAATTGACCTCCTGTGTTAATGGTCAATGTTTCTTCCATGAAGTAAAATATACAATAAAATTATTTTTTTAATCTTCTAAATACATTTATATTACTTTGCTACTTTTATAAAAAAGAATAATTCCTTATATCAAGCCAAATTTAAATATTTATAGTTTTATGCTTTTTAACCATGTACAATTGATCTATAAATGTTGCACAATTTTATTACTATTTGATGTTGAAAAATTATGAATTTTTGTGTATTACCTTTTTAATTCTAATTCATAATGCTTCCAAGCGTGCAACAAACTAGTTTATGTATTATCAATAACACTCATATTCCTTTATAATAAATAGATTCAAAGGATTGTCAGATACTACAGTGTACATGTATTTGCTATAAGTATGTCAATCAACAAATTACAACGTTTTTAGACATTTTACAGTCAATTTACAAAAATGCGTTCATTAACATAATCATTAACATATCTGAAAAAAAAAAAGATTTATTACATTTTCAACAGAGAAATATTATAATTTATTCATTGAATAAAAATGATATTTTATCACAATGTGAAAGAATATAAAAAGTGACATTTTGTATAATGTGAATAATATCAGAAGTGCGACAAAACTCTCGATTTTCCTTCCATTCAAGAAGAGTGCTGTCAAAAGAATACTGCCTGGTCTGTTATTAGATGGTTAATAAACCATTCTGACAGAGACTAAAAATGTTTTCAATCTCACATTGCTAACCTTTGCATCGCAACCGCTCAAATATGAGGCGACAGTCTATGACGATGTGTTACAAATAGACAGAGGCAAAGGAAAAATGTAATAAGCAGAAAAATTAATATTTTGCAGTTGAATATGGAATATATTTCATTCTTGAGACAGTATTTTATTCTATATTTTCACTCGTGCTTTGCACTCGTGGAAATATTAAAATATCCAGTCCCACTCGTGAAATAAATCTACATTCAACTACAAAACATTGAATATCCTAATAAATTACACAAGCAAAAAGTAATATTATAATATGAAAATTAAAAGCTTTACAAAAATGAATATATGATCCTTTAAAATTATATTTATTAGTACATGTATCAGAAGTTAGGAGTGCAGCAAAATGCGTAAAATAGGATTTCTCAAATCTAGTAATTTTTCATATATATTTTTTTATTTATAGTTTCTTTTTTTAAAAATTATTATTTTCTATTATTTTATCTTTTTATTACTATTTTTTTTTTTTGCTTTACATGTATAAGGGTGATTAAATTGACCAAAAAAAATTTGGTGAAGTTATTGTATCACATTCCGTTTTTTTTTTTTTTTTTTTTTTTTTTTTTTTTTTTTCATATTAGAACTTTTCAAACTAGAATTGTGATAAATAATGTAAAAAAAAAATCAACTAAAAAAAATTAGCAAATTCTTTCACATAAACTACATGTAGAGAAGTAACTTAAAATTACACCAGAATGTACAGTGTATATACAATATGATATTAAAATTATGAAAAATGTCATTTTTGTTTAAATTTACCTCTAAATAGCACACAGATCACATAGAAAAACAATTACCTTTCGGTTTCGACAATCCTGCTCTATTCTGGAC